AAATTTTTTTTTAAAAAACAGGGGAGTAACAAATCTTTTTTTTTTTAAAAAAAAACAGTAGTAAAAATTATTTTTTTTAAAAAAAAACAGAGGAGTAACTAATCATTTTTTTTAAAAAAAAACAGGGGGTTAACTATCTATTTTTTTTTTAAAAAACAGAGGATAATAATCTATTTTTATTAAAAAACAGAGGAGTAACTAATCTATTTTTTATTAAAAAAAAAAGGGAGAAAACTAATCTATTTTTTATTAAAAAAACAGAGGGTAACTAATCTATTTTTTTATTAAAAAACAGAGGAGTAACTAATCTATTTTTTATTAAAAAAACAGAGGAGTAACTAATCTATTTTTTATTAAAAAACAAGAGGAGTAACTAATCTATTTTTTTTATTATAAAAACAGAGGAGTAACTAATCTATTTTTTATTAAAAAACAGAGGAGGTAACTAATCTATTTTTTTATTAAAAAAAAGAGGAGTAACTAATCTATTTTTTTATTAAAATAACAGAGGAGTAACTAATCTATTTTTTATTAAAAAACAGAGGAGTAACTAATCTATTTTTTATTAAAAAAACAGAGGAGTAACTAATCTATTTTTTATTACAAAAACAGAGGAGTAACTAATCTATTTTTATTAAAAAACAGAGGAGTAACTAATCTATTTTTTTATTAAAAAACAGAGGAGTAACTAATCTATTTTTTATTAAAAAAAGAGGAGTAACTAATCTATTTTTTATTAAAAAACAGAGGAGTAACTAATCTATTTTTTATTAAAAAAACAGAGGAGTAACTAATCTATTTTTTATTACAAAAACAGAGGAGTAACTAATCTATTTTTATTAAAAAACAGAGGAGTAACTAATCTATTTTTATTAAAAAAACAGAGGAGTAACTAATCTATTTTTTTATTAAAAAAACAGAGGAGTAACTAATCTATTTTTATTAAAAAACAGAGGAGTAACTAATCTATTTTTTTTAAAAAAACAGAGGAGTAACTAATCTATTTTCTAATATTAATGAAATTTTGGTCAAATCTTATTTTTTTTTACTTGAAAAAAGTAAAAGGAGTAAACTAATCTATTAATTTTAATAAAAACAACAGGTTTGGGGATAACTACTTGTCTAACTTTTATTAAAAACACTGTGTTGTACTAATCTATTTTTATTAAAAAACAGGGAGTAACTAATCATTTTTATTAAAAAAACAGAGGAGTAACTAATCTATTTTTTATTAAAAAAACAGAGTGTGCTACTAATCTATTTTTATAAAAAACAGAGAGTAACTAATCTATTTTTTGTAAATTTTAACAGAAGAGTAACTAACTATTTTTTTAATAAAACAGAGGTAGTAACTAATCATTTTTTATTTATTAAAAAACAATGGAGTAACTAATCATTTTTCTTATTAAAAAACAGAGGGTAACTAATCTATTTTGTTAATAAAAAAACAGAGAGTTACTACATCTATTTTTTAAAAAACAGAGTGAATAACTAATCTTTTTTTAAAACAACAAGGTGTAAACTAAATCTATTTTTATAAAAACAGAGGAGTAAACTAATTTCTATTTTTTAAAAAACAGCGGAGTAATAATCTAATTTTTTTATTAAAACACAGAGGTAGTTAACTAATCTATAATTTATTAAAAAACGTGGTAACTATCTATTTTTATTAAAAACAGAGTTGTAAAACTAATCTATTTTTTAATAAAAAACAGGGAGTAACTAATCATTTTTTACAAAACTACAAGTGGATAACATAATGGGCTACTTTTTTATTAAAAAACAGTGGAGTAACTAACTATTTTTATTAAAAAAACAGAGGAGTAAGCTAATGCTATTTTTATTAAAAAACGAGGAGTTAACTAATCTATTTTTAATTAAGAAAACAGAGGATAAAACTTAATCTATTTTTTATTAAAAAAACTAGAGGAGTACTCATGTATTTTTTTATTAAAAATACAGAGCGGTAACTAATCATTGTTATTTTTATAAAAAACAGAGGGTAACTATCTATTTTTTATTAAAAGGACAGAGGAGTAACTAATCTTTTTTTTACATAACAGAGTGAGTAACTTAATGCTATTGTATTAAACAAACAGAGGAGTAACTAATCTATTTTTATTAAAAATCAGAGAGTAACTAAATCATTTTTATTAAAAAACAGAGGAGTACTATCTATGTTGTTATTAAGAACAGAGGAGTAAACTATCTATCTTTTATTAGAAATAACATAGGAGTAACTAAGTTTATTTGGCTAAATATTAATGAATTTTTGTCAATTTATCAGTTGTTGTTTGATTATCGGTTTGGTTACCCTGTTGTAATCTATATTGTAGATGGATGTTAAACTTAATATAGAGAAGCTAGTAGAAGTTTTAGACAACACTGATATTGCACACAGTGTTGGTCTAGGGTGATCACTACACGTGTTCTACAACATGTGTTGCTACAACAGTGTTTGCTACAACACTACGTGTTTGCATACAACATGTGTTGGGGTACAACACTGTGTGCTACAACACGTGTTGCTGACGACACTACACATGTGGTTGCTACGACAACTACACTGTGTTGCTACAACCATTGTTGGGGTTTAAGGCACTGTGTTGCTACAACACTGTGTTGCTTATCAACACTGTGGGTTTGCTACCAACACTAGTGTTGCGTAAACACTTTCATGTGTTGCTACGACAACTACACTCACTGTTTTTGTGGGGGTCTCTAAGAGAGAACGAAATAACGGCTTATACAAGACTTTTGTTGGACTTATAACAAAGAAGCTTTTAATTATACACTTTTCTAAGTGTCTGAAGAAACCTACATTTAATAATTGTTCCTGTTGTTGTTGGTTTATAGGGCTACTGACAACTTACACCGTAGTCCTTGGTGTATTTTTCATTGTTGATGTGGTTTATAGGGCTACTGACAACTTACACCGTAGTCCTTGGTGTATTTGTCATTGTTGATGTTGGTTTATAGGGCTACTGACAGCTTACACCGTAGTCCTTGGTGTATTTGTCATTGTTGATGTGGTTTATAGGCTACTGACAACTTACACCGTAGTCCTTGGTGTATTTTTCATTGTTGATGTGGTTTATAGGGCTACTGACAGCTTACACCGTAGTCCTTGGTGTATTTGTCCATTGTTGATGTTGGTTTTATAGGGCTACTGACAGACTTACACCGTAGTCCTTGGTGTATTTGTCGTTGTTGATGTTGGTTTATAGGGCTACTGACAGCTTACACCGTAGTCCTTGGTGTATTTGTCATTGTTGATGTTGGTTTATAGGGCTACTGACAGCTTACACCGTAGTCCTTGGTGTATTTGTATTGTTGATGTTGGTTTATAGGGCTACTGACAGTTTACATCGTAGTCCTTGGTGTATTTGTCATTGTTGATGTTGGTTTATAGGGCTACTGACAGTTTACACCGTAGTCCTTGGTGTATTTGTCATTGTTGATGTTGGTTTATAGGGCTACTGACAGTTTACACCGTAGAACACTGATGTATATGTTATTGTTGATGTTGGTTTATAGGGCTACTGACAGTTTACACCGTAGAACACTGATGTATATGTTACTGTTGATGTTGGTTTATAGGGCTACTGACAGCTTACACCGTAGTCCTTGGTGTATTTATTCCAGTTGTTGGGGTTTATAGGGCTACTGACAACTTACACCGTAGTCCTTGGTGTATTTATTCCAGTTGTTGGGGTTTATAGGGCTACTGACAACTTACACCGTAGTCCTTGGTATTTATTCCAGTTGTTGGGGTTTATAGGGCTACTGACAACTTACACCGTAGTCCTTGGTGTATTTATTCCAGTTGTTGGGGTTTATAGGGCTACTGACAACTTACACTGTAGTCCTTGGTGTATTTATTCCAGTTGTTGTGGTTTATAGGGCTACTGACAACTTACACCATAGTCCTTGGTGTATTTATTCCAGTTGTTGGGGTTTATAGGGCTACTGACAACTTACACCGTAGTCCTTGGTGTATTTATTCCAGTTGTTGGGGTTTATAGGGCTACTGACAACTTACACCGTAGTCCTTGGTGTATTTATTCCAGTTGTTGGGGTTTATAGGGCTACTGACAGCTTACACCGTAGTCCATGGTGTATTTATTCCAGTTGTTGGGGTTTATAGGGCTACTGACAGCTTACACCGTAGTCCTTGGTGTATTTATTCCAGTTGTTAGGGTTTATAGGGCTACTGACAACTTATACCGTATCGAGCCAATGCCCTAACACAAGTGTTGCTGGCCGCAAATTTGTTTCGTAAGTACACAATGATGGGCAGGCTTGCCCACCATATATCACAGGTAGTGTTACACTCTAGAGCACATCCTGTTACACCCCAGAGCACACCCTAAGGCACATTTCTTCAGTATCGAAGGTATTTTCGTTTCCTCCACATCCCCCGTAGACGAAATGCTCACAGCGTCCATTTTCGGGCACCCAAGCCCACTTGTGGAACAAGGCTCGACAGTAGCCCCGCTTCATTTGTTTGGAACACACAGCCTTTGCCTCATCTGGAACAAAAGATTGTTCATATATACGCTTCTCTGAGTGGACTGAATGGCTAACCCGGAATTAGCCACCCAGGATAGCCCAGTAAAGTCTTGTCCCCCAAGGTGCGACCCACACCAGTTGGCTAACACCCAGGTATCTATTTACTGCTAGGTGAACAGTGACAGCAGGTGTAAGGTGACTGATACCCAGGTACCTGCTTACTGCTTGGTGAAGAGGGACAGCAGGTGTAAGGTAACTAACACCCAGGTACCTACTTACTGCTATGTAAACAGGAACAGCAGGTGCAAGGCAACGAACATTCAGGTACCTACTTACTGCTCAGTGAACATGGGCAGCAGGTATAAGGTAACTAACACCCAAGTGCCTACTCACTGCTAAGTGAGCATAGATAGCAGGTGTAAGCTAACAAACACCCAGGTACCTACTTGCTAGATGAACAGGGACAGCAGGTATAAGGCAACTTACACCCAGGTACCTACTTACTGCTAGGTGAACAGTGACAGCAGGTGTAAGGTAACACGCCTAGTGTTTTCACCCCTGCCGGGGGTCGAACCACGGACACTCAGTGTATGAGGCGAGAGCGTTCAAAACCAAGCCACGGACCACATTTATACCTGGGATATCGTATATCCCATGTTCGCTGCAGCTTATCCTAACCCAGCCTACTTAGATTCCAGCTTAATCAACTCAGATATAGCATAGTCTAACCTGGCTTGTATTAATCTAGCCAAGCTAACCTAACCTAACCTAACCTAATAAGGGTCAGTTGTTCATCACTCAGAAAGAGTATAAACGTTCAGAAGTGAACGTTCAACACTGTGTTAGGATGTCTGGAACGGCTAGACGTATGTGAATGGTGTCTCTTCCTCTCTAACACTCTCCCAAGACGCTTTCTAATGCTGGCTACTGGCGCCACACTGTCTTGTGTGTGTGTGTGTGTGTGTGTGTGTGTGTGTGTGTGTGTGTGTGTGTGTGTGTGTGTGTGTGTGTGTGTGTGTGTGTATGTGTGTAAAGCCTTCAATTTAGCCTTAATAACTGCCACACACACACACACACACACACACTGGAGGACAGGAGGGTCAGGGGAGACATGATAACGACATACAAAATACTGCGTGGAATAGACAAGGTGGACAGAGACAGGATGTTCAGAGATGGGACACAGAAACAAGGGGTCACAGCAACAAGGGGACACAGCAACAAGGGGACACAGCAACAAGGGGACACAGCAACAAGGGGACACAGCAACAAGGGGACACAGCATCAAGTGAGACACAGCAACACAGGGACTCGCACATAGGGGACTCAGCAAACAAGGGGACACAGCACAAGTGTTGTGTCACATGGAAGTTAAGACTCAGATTAGTCAAGGGTTGTTAGGAAGTATTTCTTCAGGTCAAGAGTAGGGTCAGGAGTAGGAACAGCTGGCAAGTGTTGTAGTGATGGCAGAACCATAATAGTAATTAAGACGAGGTATAACAAGCTCATGGAGCAGGGAGAGAGAGGACACCAGTACGGTGTAGCGAAGATGAAGGGGCCAGGCACTGAGCCTCGGTCTGAAACCACAATTAGGTAAATTAAGTGTGTACGTACACACACACACACACGTCGCTTATCTGAAAGGTGTACACACGCCCACATGAGTGTACTACAGTATCTGAAAGGTGTACACACGCCCACATGAGTGTACTACAGTATCTGAAAGTTGTACACACGCCCACATGAGTGTACTACAGTATCTGAAAGTTGTACACACGCCCACATGAGTGTACTACAGTATCTGAAAGTTGTACACACGCCCACATGAGTGTACTACGGTATCTGATAGATGTACACACGCCCACATGAGTGTACTACGGTATCTGAAAGGTGTACACACGCCCACATGAGTGTACTACAGTATCTGAAAGTTGTACACAACGCCCACATGAGTGTACTACGGTATCTGAAAGGTGTACACACGCCCACATGAGTGTACTACGGTATCTGAAAGTTGTACACACGCCCACATGAGTGTACTACAGTATCTGAAAGTTGTACACACGCCCACATGAGTGTACTACAGTATCTGAAAGTTGTACACACGCCCACATGAGTGTACTACAGTATCTGAAAGTTGTACACACGCCCACATGAGTGTACTACAGTATCTGAAAGTTGTACACACGCCCACATGAGTGTACTACAGTATCTGATAGATGTACACACGCCCACATGAGTGTACTACAGTATCTGAAAGTTGTACACACGCCCACATGAGTGTACTACAGTATCTGAAAGTTGTACACACGCCCACATGAGTGTACTACAGTATCTGATAGATGTACACACGCCCACATGAGTGTACTACGGTATCTGAAAGTTGTACACACGCCCACATGAGTGTACTACAGTATCTGATAGATGTACACACGCTCGTGTACATTTGTACACCGGGAATCCCACAATGGTGGGAGATTTAGGTGAGTGAAAGTCAGCGACGGTATCAGGGTCAAGCCCTGGGGACGCCAGCCCTGGCCAGACCTTACGGTGGGGAGAATCTGGTTTAGTATCCCGTGGCTGGGTTGGTAGCGCACTCGCCTCACACACTGAGATCCGTGGTTCGATCCCCGGTACGGGTGGAAACATTGAGGCGTGTTTGCTTTGAAGACACCTGCTGTCTATGTTCACCTTGAAGTAAGTAGGTACCTGGGTGTTGGTCACCTTACATCTACTGTCACTGTTCACCTAGTAGTAAGTAGGTACCTGGGTGTTAGTGGACTGGTGTGGGTGGCATCCTGGGTGTTAGTGGACTGGTGTGGGTGGCATCCTGGGTGTTAGTGGACTGGTGTGGGTGGCATCCTGGGTGTTAGTGGACTGGTGTGGGTGGCTATCCTGGGTGTTAGTGGACTGGTGTGGTGGGTGGAGCATCCTGGTGTTAGTGGACTGGTGTGGGTGGCATCCTGGGTGTTAGTGGACTGGTGTGGGTGGCATCCTGGGTGTTAGTGGACTGGTGTGGGTGGCATCCTGGGTGTTAGTGGACTGGTGTGGGTGGCATCCTGGGGACAAATAAGTCGCCAGAAATGCTCAACATAACCAGGAACTTTCTATATAGTATGTCATAGGTGTGAGCTATGGTCTGTATAAGTTGTATCTTGTACTGGTAGAAATATACATTATTATTATTAGTATTATTATACCACTAGTACAACTATCAAACAATGTACTCTAGAACACACAGAACTCTCAGCAGTACTCAACATGGTACTCACCTCTAGTACAAGCACACTCCAGACATCCAGTAGTACTCAACGTTCGTGAGCAGGAATCCGGGCAGTCCAAATCCGGGCATCTAGATTCCTGACAGTGTTCCTCACAAGATGACCTGGACTCGAACCTGCCAGTGATGATGATGATTATTATTATTATTATTTATTATTATTATTATTATTATTATTATGATTATTATTATTATTATTATTATGATTATTATTATTATTATTATTATTATTATTATTATTATTATTATGATTATTATTATTATTATTATTATGATTATTATTATTATTATTATTATTATTATTATTATTATTATGATTATTATTATTATTATTTATTATTATTATTATTATGATTATTATTATTATTATTATTATTATTATTATTATTATTATTATTATTATTATTATGATTATTATTATTATTATTATTATGATTATTATTATTATTATTATTATTATTATTATTATTATGATTATGATTATTATTATTATTATTATTATTATTATTATTATTATTATTATATCATTAATATACCTGGTATGACACAGGTGTATACCTGGAGTATACATTATCAAATATTCTGGTATAACACAGGTGTATACCTGGAGTATACATTATCAATATTCTGGTATGACACAGGTGTATACCTGGAGTATACATTATCAATATTCTGGTATAACACAGGTGTATACCTGGAGTATACATTATCAATATTCTGGTATGACACAGGTGTATACCTGGAGTATACATTATCAATATTCTGGTATAACACAGGTGTATACCTGGAGTATACATTATCAATATTCTGGTATGACACAGGTGTATACCTGGAGTATACATTATCAATATTCTGGTATAACACAGGTGTATACCTGGAGTATACATTATCAATATTCTGGTATGACACAGGTGTATACCTGGTGTGTACCTATAGAATACACCAGGTATACCTGGAGTGTATACTCACCTGTTAGCGTTGCCACCACAGCCGGAATACACGAAGAATATACATCTGTGTTCATCACGGCTGTAATACCAGGCTTCCTGCTGCCCGGAACACGTACCTACGTCCTTAGGGGCGTGGCAGTTCACTGCTGCGTCCGTGGAGTCATCTGCAGTACCAAGAACGTCCGTGAGATGGTGCATATGCAATGTTCTTAATTGACAACCTACAATACCATGATCCGCGACTATCAGTTTATATATATATATATATGGGTTATATACACCTTCCAGTGTATATATACACTGAGATATACACCTCTCAGTGTATATACATTGATATATACACACCTCCTAGTGTATATACACTAAGATATACACCTCTCAGTGTATATACACTGATATATACACACCTCCTAGTGTATATACACTAAGATATACACCTCTCAGTGTATATACATTGATATATGCACACACCTCCCAGTATATATATACTAAGATATACACCTCACAGCGTATATACACTGATATATACACACCTCCTAGTGTATATACACTAAGATATACACCTCACAGTGTATATACACTGATATATACACACACCTCTCAGTGTATATACACTGATATATACACTCCTCCCAGTGTATATACACTAAGATATACACCTCACAGTGTATATACACTGATATATACACTCCTCCCAGTGTATATACACTAAGATATACACCTCACAGTGTATATACACTGATATATACACACCTCCTAGTGTATATACACTAAGATATACACCTCACAGTGTATATACACTGATATATACACACCTCCTAGTGTATATACACTAAGATATACACCTCACAGTGTATATACACTGATATATACACACACCTCTCAGTGTATATACACTGATATATACACTCCTCCCAGTGTATATACACTAAGATATACACCTCACAGTGTATATACACTGATATATACACACCTCCTAGTGTATATACACTAAGATATACACCTCACAGTGTATATACACTGATATATACACTCCTCCCAGTGTATATACACGGAGACATACACCTCACAGTGTATATACACTGATAAACACCATTGTTACCATAGTCAATGGTGCCATTAGCCACTGTTACTCCACCATGATGGAGAATTAACTGACCTGTGATGGAGTTACCCTTGAAGGCTGTAGTGATGGACAAGATTGTCGACAGTAATATAAATATATCCATCTCGTTTGTTTTGGCTTGTTGAGGCAGGTGATGGAGGGTCTTGTGATGGAGTGTGGTGAGGCTGTGATGGAGTGTGGTGATGCTGTGATGGAGTGTGGTGAGGCTGTGATGGAGTGTGGTGAGGCTGTGATGGAGTGTGGTGAGGCTGTGATGGTGTGTGGTGAGGCTGTGATGGAGCGTGGTGATGCTGTGATGGAGTGTGGTGAGGCTGTGATGGAGTGTGGTGATGCTGTGATGGAGCGTGGTGATGCTGTGATGGAGTGTGGTGATGCTGTGATGGAGTGTGGTGATGCTGTGATGGAGCGTGGTGATGCTGTGATGGAGCGTGGTGATGCTGTGATGGAGTGTGGTGATGCTGTGATGGAGTGTGGTGAGGCTGTGATGGAGTGTGGTGAGGCTGTGATGGTGTGTGGTGATGCTGTGATGGAGTGTGGTGAGGCTGTGATGGTGTGTGGTGAGGCTGTGATGGAGTGTGGTGAGGCTGTGATGGAGTGTGGTGAGGCTGTGATGGAGTGTGGTGAGGCTGTGATGGTGTGTGGTGAGGCTGTGATGGTGTGTGGTGAGGCTGTGATGGAGTGTGGTGAGGCTGTGATGGTGTGTGGTGATGCTGTGATGGAGTGTGGTGAGGCTGTGATGGAGTGTGGTGAGGCTGTGATGGAGTGTGGTGAGGCTGTGATGGAGTGTGGTGAGGCTGTGATGGAGTGTGGTGAGGCTGTGATGGTGTGTGGTGAGGCTGTGATGGTGTGTGGTGAGGCTGTGATGGAGTGTGGTGAGGCTGTGATGGTGTGTGGTGAGGCTGTGATGGAGTGTGGTGAGGCTGTGATGGTGTGTGGTGAGGCTGTGATGGAGTGTGGTGAGGCTGTGATGGTGTGTGTGGTGAGGCTGTGATGGTGTGTGGTGAGGCTGTGATGGTGTGTGGTGAGGCTGTGATGGTGTGTGGTGAGGCTGTGATGGAGTGTGGTGAGGCTGTGATGGTGTGTGGTGAGGCTGTGATGGTGTGTGGTGAGGCTGTGATGGAGTGTGGTGAGGCTGTGATGGAGTGTGGTGAGGCTGTGATGGAGTGTGGTGAGGCTGTGATAGAGATAGGGAGTTTACACTCCCGCAGTCCACAACTCTCTGACTGAATCACTCTGTCACTCTGTCTTATATTACAAATCTCTCTCTCTCTCTCTCTCTCTCTCTCTCTCTCTCTCTCTCTCTCTCTCTCTCTCTCTCTCTCTCTCTCTCTCTCTCTCTCTTTCTCTCTATCTCTATCTATCTATCTATTTATCTAATACTTTCATTCTTGATTATTACTATTACTGTAAATGAAAGTATTACAGATAGACACATAGATAGATAGATAGAGAAAGAGAGAGATAGATAGAAAGGGGAAACGAGAGGGGAAGAAAAGGAATCTCTAAAAGGGGATATTCCCCTGGTTGGGTGAGTGGGTGAAGTAGCCAGGGGTATCCTACACACATAAACATACCTGGAGTATACCTGGAGCTAGTTTCGGGGGTCAACGCCCCCTCGGCCCGGTCCATGACCAGGTCTCGTGGTGGATAAGGACCTAATCAACCAGGTTGTTACTGGTGGCCGCACGTAAGCCAACGTAGGAACTACAGCCCGGCTGGTCAGGTACTGACTTTGTGTCTGGCAAGTTCCCTCTTGAAGACAGTCAGGGGTCTTGAAGACAGTCAGGGGTCTTGAAGACAGGGGTCTTGAAGACAGCCAGGGGTCTTGAAAACAGCCAGGGGTCTTGAAGACAGCCAGGGGTCTTGAAGACAGCCAGGGGTCTTGAAGACAGCCAGGGGTCTTGAAGACAACCAGGGGTCTTGAAGACAACCAGGGGTCTTGAAGACAGCCAGGAGACTTGAAGACAAAGGAGGAGTAGATGTAAAATAGAAAGAGACAGGCGCTCCCTTTACAGGCGACGGAAAAGAATAACAGAGCGGCTAAAAGAGGTCAATATATCTGAAATGCGTAAGGAGACACTGGTCAGAGAAATAGCAAGCATCGAACTTAAGCTAAAGGAATCTTATAGGAGTCAGGAATCGCGGGAAGAACTAAAAGCCATAAATGAAATCGAAAGAAACCCAAAGTATTTCTTCTCCTATGCCAAATCAAAGTCGAGAACAACGTCCAGTATTGGGCCCCTACTTAAACAAGATGGGTCCTACACAGATGACAGCAACGAAATGAGTGAGCTACTCAAGTCCCAATATGACTCAGTTTTTAGCAAGCCGCTAACCAGACTGAGAGTCGAAGATCAAAATGAATTTTTTATGAGAAAGCCACAGAATTTGGTTAACACAAGCCTATCCGATGTTATCCTGACGCCAAATGACTTCGAACAGGCGATAAATGACATACCCATGCACTCTGCCCCAGGGCCAGACTCATGGAACTCCGTGTTCATCAAGAACTGCAAGAAGCCCCTATCACGAGCCTTTTCCATCCTATGGAGAGGGAGCATGGACACGGGGGTCGTCCCACAGTTACTAAAAACAACAGACATAGCCCCACTCCACAAAGGGGGCAGTAAAGCAACAGCAAAGAACTACAGACCGATAGCACTAACATCCCATATCATAAAAATCTTTGAAAGGGTCCTAAGAAGCAAGATCACCACCCATCTAGAAACCCATCAGTTACACAACCCAGGGCAACATGGGTTTAGAACAGGTCGCTCCTGTCTGTCTCAACTATTGGATCATTACGATAAGGTCCTAGATGCACTAGAAGAAAAAAAGAATGCAGATGTAATATATACAGACTTTGCAAAAGCCTTCGACAAGTGTGACCATGGCGTAATAGCGCACAAAATGCGTGCTAAAGGAATAACAGGAAAAGTCGGTCGATGGATCTATAATTTCCTCACTAACAGAACACAGAGAGTAGTCGTCAACAGAGTAAAGTCCGAGGCAGCTACGGTGAAAAGCTCTGTTCCACAAGGCACAGTACTCGCTCCCATCTTGTTCCTCATCCTCATATCCGACATAGACAAGGATGTCAGCCACAGCACCGTGTCTTCCTTTGCAGATGACACCCGAATCTGCATGACAGTGTCTTCCATTGCAGACACTGCAAGGCTCCAGGCGGACATCAACCAAAATCTTTCAGTGGGCTGCAGAAAACAATATGAAGTTCAACGATGAGAAATTTCAATTACTCAGATATGGTAAACACGAGGAAATTAAATCTTCATCAGAGTACAAAACAAATTCTGGCCACAAAATAGAGCGAAACACCAACGTCAAAGACCTGGGAGTGATCATGTCGGAGGATCTCACCTTCAAGGACCATAACATTGTATCAATCGCATCTGCTAGAAAAATGACAGGATGGATAATGAGAACCTTCAAAACTAGGGATGCCAAGCCCATGATGACACTCTTCAGGTCACTTGTTCTATCTAGGCTGGAATATTGCTGCACACTAACAGCACCTTTCAAGGCAGGTGAAATTGCTGACCTAGAAAATGTACAGAGAACTTTCACGGCGCGCATAACGGAGATAAAACACCTCAATTACTGGGGGCGCTTGAGGTTCCTAAACCTGTATTCCCTGGAACGCAGGCGGGAGAGATACATGATTATATACACCTGGAAAATCCTAGAGGGACTAGTACCGAACTTGCACACGAAAATCACTCACTACGAAAGCAAAAGACTTGGCAGACGATGCACCATCCCCCCAATGAAAAGCAGGGGTGTCACTAGCACGTTAAGAGACCATACAATAAGTGTCAGGGGCCCGAGACTGTTCAACTGCCTCCCAGCATATATAAGGGGGATTACCAACAGACCCCTGGCAGTCTTCAAGCTGGCACTGGACAAGCACCTAAAGTCGGTTCCTGACCAGCCGGGCTGTGGCTCGTACGTTGGTTTGCGTGCAACCAGCAGCAACAGCCTGGTTCATCAGGCTCTGATCCATCAGGAGGCCTGGTCACAGACCGGGCCGCGGGGGCGTTGACCCCCGGAACTCTCTCCAGGTAAACTCCAGGTCTATTGATAATCCCTCTTACATATGCTGGGAGGCAGTTCAACAGTCTTGGGCCCCTGACACTTATTGTATTGTCTCTTATCATGCTAGTGGCGCCCCTTATTTTCAATGGGGGAATGTTGCATCGTCTGCCGAGTCTTTTGCTTTCATGGGGAGTGATTTTCGTGTGTATATTAGGGACAAGTCACTCTAGGATTTTCTAAGTACATATTATCATGTATCTTTCTCGCCAGCGTTCCAGAGAGTACAAATCAAGGGACTTCAACCATTCCCAGTAATTTAGGTGCTCTATTGTACATTTTCCAGGTCGGGAATTTCGCCAGCCTTGAAGGAGGCAGTTAGTGTACAGCCTAGGGCTTGGCGTCCCTAGTTTTGAAGGTTCTCATTATCCATCCTATCATTTTCCTAGCAGATGAGGTAGATACATAGTTGTAATCTTTGAATTTGAGATCCTCTGACATTATGACTCCCAGGTCCTTCACATTACTTTTTGGCTCTATTGTGTAGTTGGAATTTGTTTTATACACCGATACACCTTTTACTTACTCGAGTTTTCCATAGCGGAGTAATTTAAATCTGTCTACATTGAATTTCATATTTTCTGAGGCCCATTAAAGGCTTAGGTAATGTCCTCTTGGACATGGATGACATTGTCATGTAAACTCTGGTATCATCAGTAAATGAGGACACGGTGCTGTGGCTGACATCTCTGTGTCAGTTATGAGTATGTGGAACACTGGGAGCCAGTACTGTGCCTTGTGGAACACTGGTAGCCAGTACTGTACCTTGTGGAACACTGGTAGCCAGTACTGTACCTTGTGGAACACTGGTAGCCAGTACTGTACCTTGTGGAACACTGGTAGCCAGTACTGTACCTTGTGGAACACTGGAAGCCAGTACTGTACCTTGTGGAACACTGGTAGCCAGTACTGTGCCTTGTGGAACACTGGGAGCCAGTACTGTGCCTTGTGGAACACTGGTAGCCAGTACTGTACCTTGTGGAACACTGGTAGCCAGTACTGTACCTTGTGGAACACTGGTAGCCAGTACTGTACCTTGTGGAACACTGGTAGCCAGTACTGTACCTTGTGGAACACTGGTAGCCAGTACTGTACCTTGTGGAACACTGGAAGCCAGTACTGTACCTTGTGGAACACTGGTAGCCAGTACTGTGCCTTGTGGAACACTGGGAGCCAGTACTGTGCCTTGTGGAACACTGGTAGCCAGTACTGTACCTTGTGGAACACTGGTAGCCAGTACTGTACCTTGTGGAACACTGGTAGCCAGTACTGTACCTTGTGGAACACTGGTAGCCAGTACTGTACCTTGTGGAACACTGGTAGCCAGTACTGCACCTTGTGGAACACTGATAGCCAGTACTGTACCTTGTGGAACACTGGTAGCCAGTACTGTACCTTGTGGAACACTGGTAGCCAGTACTGTACCTTGTGGAACACTGGTAGCCAGTACTGTACCTTGTGGAACACTGGTAGCCAGTACTGTACCTTGTGGAACACTGGTAGCCAGTACTGTACCTTGTGGAACACTGGTAGCCAGTACTGCACCTTGTGGAACACTGATAGCCAGTACTGTACCTTGTGGAACACTGGTAGCCAGTACTGTACCTTGTGGAACACTGGTAGCCAGTACTGTACCTTGTGGAACACTGGGAGCCAGTACTGTACCTTGTGGAACACTGGGAGCCAGTACTGTACCTTGTGGAACACTGGTAGCCAGTACTGTACC